TCTCAGCTGGACGGTTCAGCTTTACGGTTGCTTTTTTGGAGAGAAAACTAGGCTGAGAGAACTAATGAAAAATAGAAGAGCACTGTTGAATGTTAAACCAGGGATTTCATCATCTTAAGGGGAAAATAGCCAATGTAAGGGCAAGATGTGCTGCTGCTGCTGGAGGAAGCCAATTGCTATCACAGAACAGTTAGGGTTGGAAGGGACCTCAGATCATCTAGTCCAACCCCTGATGTCCAAATTGATGGGAAGGGAATTCAGCATTAAGGTCAGGTCACAGGCAGCTTTCTTTGCAAGAGAAGTTTTCACCTCAACTGTTCCCTGTGCCTGACTCTTCATAGCTTAACAAAGCAGTCCTTCAGTGCAGATCTGCAGCACAAGAGGCTTTTACTTGGTGTCACTGCAGGTCTTGTAACGGTTTTGGACTCCATCAAGGCAGCCATTCTCAGATACCTGAACTGCTGTTGATGTTCATAGTATTTATACATGGAATGACAGAAACTACTCCTGTAAGTAGCCCCTTAAGTTGGCTTTCTCAACTTCCTTGTGTCCTGTCTAACTGAGGAGCTGGATGACAGACTAGTCTGAAATACTGACCAGTTTCCTCTGTGAAAACCAAGTCCCCTTTCCAACAAAAGACCCCAGATAAGGAACTGATACTGTCCCTTGCAGCAGGAATACTTAAATACTCAAAGGGCACAGTTAGGTGGAGGGCATTATCAGATACTTCTAGGCAGCACAATGTTCAGAGTTACTAACTGTGAGCCCCGATGCAGAAGATTCTGGTTTCCTACATAAGCTGCTGTACTTGTGCATCTCCCAGAAATACAGTGACCTCTCCCCATGGCTGAGAAGCTCTGACAAAGCAGGATGTCAGCTACCAATTGGCTCTGCAAAGCGTTCTGGAATTCATTCTGAATATATTTTTGCTTTCTATGTGGAAAAAAAAAAAAAGAAATAAGTATAAAATCTCATTTTATGCTGTATTTTGTACCTTAGTTGTGTTTGAAAATGTTTTGATTTTCGAAAACAATCAAAATAAAACGATGGCATCTTTGTATCCACTTGGCGTGTGTGGCTGGTGATGCTCCATGGATGGGCTCCCTGGAGGAGCTGGTCAGGAGGCTGCTGTGCTTTCCTGCCTACCAAAAACCAGCTTTCTGTAAAGAGCTCTGAGTGCTGAGCTGTCTGCACCTGACTGCAGCAGAAATCCTTCCTTTGGTGTGGGGGTGGCTTGAAGCTGTTTGAATACAACTTAATTCCCCCTCACTACTCCCCTCTGCACCTGTAACAGTTAACTGGAATGGGCAAACACTTGTGCTCCTACTGGAATTGTTACACAACAGGCTTCAGGCCAGGTATTTGTCATAAAATTTATTTCCCGTTGGTTGCCTTCTTGAAGTTCTTGGGTTTTCGATGATGGCTCTTGAATTTCTTCTTTAAAGGGCCCGACTGTTTCTGTAGAGAAGAAAAGTTCAATCAGCTTATTTCCAACCCCCAAATCCATCTTTATATATCTAACGTATGCCTGCTTCCCAAACTGAGTGGGATCAGGGGATGTCCTCTAAGGCAGGGCCTCAGAAGAGATCTAGAAGGATCCTGTGACTGCAAAAAGGTTTCACATATGTTTTTGTATTTGGAGGACACTTAACCCACAAGACACACATCAGCCTCTCTGCTGAGACTGTGTGCAGCAGGATGCCACCAAAGATGAGCTGTTTATACAGGCAGGAACATCGCTCACTACCACAGAGAGGATAAACATTGCCTGGCAGCAATTCACACCTCGGGATGCAAGTCAGTGTCTGGCACACAGGGAGTCTATTCTGAACAGCTTTGCACCTTCTGCTGGTTCTCAGACAGGAATAGATGGAACACCTACGGGATGGGATCCCAGCTCACACTCCCCTGCTGCTGCAGGCAGTGGGGTGACTCCCACCTTTCCTCTCTTGTTGCCCACGGCTCTGCTGACATCCATCCTTCCACCATCCTCTCCGTTCTTGGCCCCGTCATCCTCACTGTCTGTCGCAAAGTCATCGCTGCCCTTTGTGGTTTGTGCAGCTGATGGGCTTTTTTCTGGGAAGAGCACAGCTAAAACACAAAGATTTAGCTCAGAATCAGTTACCTGTGCACACCAACTTTACTTTGAGAGCAGCTTAAAGGTGATTTGCCAGTGGTGTTTTATTGGAAATGTGCCCGGTTGTCTCACTAATCCCATTCTGGGAACTCCAGCACAGGTGGAGTTACACAGATCTGCACCTCCAGATGTAAGTCAGTAAAACAGGATGACTAGCTTCTGTCAGACTCAAGGACTTGCTGAGAAACAAGGGAAGTGGGGATACCTAAAGCAGCAAATCCCAGTGGATCTTGCATCCCTCCCCTCACAGCTTACATGATCCAAATGCTTATCACTTAGTGATAATGCTATTTCTTATTTGGTGGTGGTAAGCTTTTCCAAGACACGAAAACCCCGAACTGGATGGAAGAGCTGCAGGGAACAGTATAAAGAAACCAGGAGAAAATCAGCCAACAAACTTCTTCAGGACACAGATGACACCAGTGTTCTCACTCACGTGGGTACAGGTCACTCATGCTGTCGTCTGTCTCCTCTCCATCCTTGTCACTGGACTTTGGCTCCCAGAATTCCTCCTTCCTGTGAGGTTTTCTGCTCCCATTCATTTGGTCATCAGGATGCTGTGCCCGCTGCTTCTTCTGTCGCAGGCAGGCAGGGACATACTCCACTCCTTCCCTCTGGCATTCCTCATCTACCAGAGGGAGAGTCAGGCAGCACTGAGCCAGGCAGCCCAGTCCCCAAGTCCTTTCATGTCCAGCTCAAGCTTATAGGAAATGCACCTCCAAAGTTCAGGATGCTCCACCCCAAATATACAACCTATATAATCTCCAGCAGCACTATGGACCAGAGATGATGTTAAAACAGATTGTGCTGGATACATGAACTCCCTGGGGGAGTTTTAGAACTGATCCTCTCAAGGAGGGATGTCCCAAGGTATTTACTAGAGGCCAGTTGCTCCCTACATCTGGGATCTTCCTTCCTAGCTGAGGAGCACACACAGCAACACACTGATGCCAGTCTAAAGAAAACTATCCCACTCCCTTCACATAGATCCACTGGAATCTCAACAGCTCAATGAAAAAAAAGTTGCCTGGTAACAGCTCCAGAAAAGCTACTTACACGTTTTGAGGGCCTTCTGGTAGCGCTTCCCTTGGACATGACGCAGGACGTGCTCTGGGAACTTGTTGATGTGTCTGAGGGTGAGCTTGCAGAACAGCTGGTGTCTACAGACACAAAAAGAAAGAGCCAGCAAGAGTTTAAGTATGCTGTTACTTCATAACTTTTCACTTACAAGCACCGTACTCAAAGTTGATAAATACTTCATAGAGCCTTCCCCAGTCTCCCAAAACCCATAAAAACTTTGTAAAGCTAAACCACTTTACACCTGAGATCGAACAAAGGGTAAAGCATAACATAACACAGAGGAGGAAGAATACGTACAAATTCTTTGTGCTGGGCACTATGTGGGGCTCAAACGTGCCGTAGTCGAACTCTTTGGCTGTCTTTATGAGCCGCTGATACTTCTTGCCGCTGGTATAAGCCTGCAGCTCCGACAGCCGACAGGGCATCTCGTGTCCTGTCAGCCTGCATCTCACCTGGAAAAAAAACACGAATGGGCAGCAAGCCCAGGGGATTCAATCAGGTTGGAAAAGACCTCTGAGATCAAGTCCAACCTGTGACCCAACATCACCGTGTCAACCAAGACCATGGTCTTTCCTTGAACACCTCCAGGGTGGCTCCACCACCTCCCCGGGCAGCCCCTTCCAGTGTCTAACCACCCTTTCTGTATCCATCCCGGTGCTGGGAAGGGCAGGACCACCGCCCTCCTTCCCGGCCTCCCACAGCTGCAGAGAC